GGCTGTTGTTGGTGTGGCTGTAGCCTCAGCGGCAATCTCTGGCAATGAGGTGTTTGTAAATGTGTTTCATGATATGGCTGTTGTTGGTGTGGCTGTAGCCTCAGCGGCAATCTCTGGCAATGAGGTGTTTTTAAATGTGTTTCATGATATGGCTGTTGTTGGTGTGGCTGTAGCCTCAGCGGCAATCTCTGGCAATGAGGTGTTTGTAAATGTGTTTCATGATATGGCTGTTGTTGGTGTGGCTGTAGCCTCAGCGGCAATCTCTGGCAATGAGGTGTTTGTAAATGTGTTTAATGATATGGCTGTTGTTGGTGTGGCTGTAGCCTCAGCGGCAATCTCTGGCAATGAGGTGTTTGTAAATGTGTTTAATGATATGGCTGTTGTTGGTGTGGCTGTAGCCTCAGCGGCAATCTCTGGCAATGAGGTGTTTGTAAATGTGTTTCATGATATGGCTGTTGGTGGTGTGGTGAGCAGAAATTTCCAGCAATTTAGTTGTTTCTGTATTTACTAAAATGACTGTTATTGTGGCCTTATTTACTCTACAATCTTCAGTTGTTTTATTGTCTTATCAGTGCTTGCTCTAACACATTTGGTTGGTGTGGTTGTAGCCTCAACCACCATCTCAGGTACAATAGTCGGATATCGAGGTACCCTAAGAGCTGCAGGAGGACTATATGCAGCGTTAATGGCCATTTTGCTCCGAGCACCCATCAGTTTCTTTGATGTCACTCCATCTGGAAGGATTCTTACCATCATATCCAACGATACCCAAGCAGTTGACTTTACTCTTCCTGACAAACTGCGGTTTTGGCTTCGTATTTTCTTTAGGGTATGTGATGTAGCCGGTTGCTGATTTTTGAGTGCACGGAATGGTTTATTTCTGCCTTGATATTATTTGATTTTATTTTATTCTTTTAGATGAGTCTTTGTGGTATGTTTTTTTCTGTTAACACTTTTGATGCTTTTAACAAATTTTAGACCTTATTAAGGCTTAGAATTAGAATAAAATTTGTAATCTTTTGAAATTTGATATTTTTTGTTTACATTTTGAATTGCATAATTAATTTATACATTAAACATTATTTTGCTCTAGATTATATTTATGCTGTAAAAATGGGGGTAAAAGAGAAAGTGGCATCTGATTTGCAATGTTTAAAACAAAGTATTTTGCGTACAATTTATGAAAATAAAATGGAAAAATATAGCCTAGCTGAAATTATAATTTTGTTGTTAAAGATTGCTGTAGAATTTGGTGGGATTGAAGTGAGGATCAACTTGTCGAGGAAACTCCCATTGTGAAATCTTCTGAGATGTATTTATTATACTCATGTGGGAGCTGTTATGTTCGTTTTTTTGAGTAACTGCTTCTATTTTTCTGTCAAAAGTTGTGTCAAGAGTTAGGAGAGTAAGGACCTTGGGATTTCCCACTGGTTAAAAGAGAATATGTTTTGGTTGATGAAACAACTACAGACTGGTTATGTGATTAGTTGATAAAGGATTTTCTGTAGCCTATATTTGTATTTTTTTAGTTTTTACAACTGTAATTTTTTATCTTAAAGATTTTACAGTTAGTACATAACATCTCAACATTGGATTATTTGTTTTATGTTCCTATAATTTCCCTCGTGTTTTATGTTAATATTTCCTGCATCCTAGAAATATCATCTTTTTGTTGTTTTCAGCTGTATCATCAAAATAAAAGGGGGATTTTTTACTAAGGGTGGTTTGTGTGTCTCCATAGTTTGTGTTTACACCGCAACTAGGCAGCTTGCTGTTTACTGGCGTCATTTGTGAACAGAATTGCACTCTTTGCAGCTATCTAGCAGATGTGTACACTTCGTTGTGTGTCTAGAAAATGTTTTAATTATTGAATCTCCTGCCACATGTAGGATAAGATTAATGATAGGTTTTTTTACTGCATGAAACATATCGGCTGTAGACATTCATTTCTAGATGACTTAAGTGTATGGCTCTAAAGTGCAGAAATGGGTTGGGGAGTTTTAAAATGGTCGTGAACATGTCAATTTTGGGAGAAATTGTGTTTTAGGTGGTTATTCTGACTTCTCACAGAAGACTCCAAAGGAAAAAGTTTATAGAGTATTTTTTGATTTTTTGCGTTATGAGGAAGGGGTTGAAACATTGAGTCAAATCGTTGCAAGAGTCGAAACATTTTACCACCCCTGAATCCAAGTAACAATTCATGGAATATCCAGTTGTAGAGGTCTGCTGGTCTTACTCTTGTTAGTCTGAATAATCTGGCAATTAGTTAGTCTTGTACTTGAAAGTCTTAACACTGGTTCTGTATACCCCTACATGACTAACTCTCCTTAACACTGTTAACTGTATTTAGTTATATCCTTGATGAGGTTGTGGAAATTTCCATGTTAGTGAATATGGCAGGAGTTTTGTACTATACCATTTGCATAACAGTATACACAGTGTTGAACTGGTGTGTAGTACCAGCAATAGCATAGCTTAATTAATTCATGCTCTGGAAAGAAGTCCAGTCAACTTGTGACTGTGAGTGTACTATGGTCTAGATCTTGAACAAAGCAATGTTAAGTTGCTCAGTGTTTAAAAACTCATTAACCTGAGTAGTACAACACTTAAAAGATGTAATGGTTGGTAGACGTTAATAGACGTTGGTAGAAGTTTTAATAGTTGAATACATGTAACCGTGACATACAGTGAAATGCTCAGTATTCTGAATGCTTGAAATTTCTTAACACTTAGAAGTCAAAATCCTGATAGTCTAATACTTTGTAGCTTGATGCTACGTTTTTGTAGTCTGACGTTTTGTCTCGGTACTCTGACCCTTGGTCTTCGTTATCCTAACGCTTTCTCTCGTTAGTCTGACGCTTTGTCTCAGTACCCTGACGCTTGGTCTTGTTATCCTGATGCTTTGTCTCAGTAGTCTAATGCTCTGTCTCGGTAGCCTAATGCTTGGTCTCGTTATCGTGGCGCTTTATCTCGGTAGCCTAACGCTTGGTCTCGTTATCGTGGCGCTTTGTCTCGGTAGTCTGACGCTTGGTCTTGTTATCCTGACGCTTTGTCTCGGTAGTCTAACGCTTGGTCTCGTTATCGTGGCGCTTTGTCTCGGTAGTCTGATGCTTTGAATCGGTAGTCTGACACTTGGTCTCGTTATCCTGACGCTTTGTCTCGGTAGTCTAACGCTTGGTCTCGTTATGGTGGCGCTTTGTCTCGGTAGTCTGATGCTTTGTCTCGGTAGTCTGACGCTTTGTCTCGGTAGTCTGACGCTTTGTCTCAGTATTATAAGGCTTTGACTCGGTAGTCTGACGCTTTGTCTCAGTATTATAAGGCTTTGACTCGGTAGTCTGACGCTTTGTCTCAACGCTTGGTCTCGTTGTCGTGGCGCTTTGTCTCAGTAGTCTGACGCTTGGTCTTGTTATCCTGACGCTTTGTCTCGGTAGTCTGATGCTTTGAATCGGTAGTCTGACGCTTGGTCTCGTTATTCTGACGCTTTGTCTCGGTAGTCTAACGCTTGGTCTCGTTATCGTGGCGCTTTGTCTCGGTAGTCTGATGCTTTGTCTCGGTAGTCTGACGCTTTGTCTCGGTAGTCTGACGCTTTGTCTCGGTAGTCTGACGCTTTGTCTCAGTATTATAAGGCTTTGACTCGGTAGTCTGACGCTTTGTCTCGGTAGTCTGACGCTTTGTCTCCGTAGTCTGACGCTAAGTCTCCGTAGTCTGACGCTTTGTCTCGGTAGTCTGACTCTTTGTCTGGGTAGTCTGACGCTTTGTCTCGGTAGTCTGACGCTTTGTCTCGTTATCCTAATGCTTTGCTTTGCCATCAAAAGTTTGACACTTGTAAGCCAAAATCTTTATTTTCAATTCAGAGTAGCTTGGCACTCAGGAATCTAATTTCTTTAAACATTAAAGTAATACACATACAAGAGACATTTAAAATCAAAAGGGGCTTATTTATATTTTACGCTGTGTAATTGACATTTGTTAATTGCACTTTCAATAAAATGATGCTGCGGCTTTCCTCCAGTCCTATTAATTCCCTCTCCATTAATGCCACTATACTATTAGAATTGACTGCTTGTGGTTGTAAAAATACCTCATAAAATTTTTTTTCTCAGGATCGCATACCTCTATAGTATTTTTTTAAATTACTACTACTTGTGGATAAGTATGGTAATGGCAGCATGAAAAAAAAAACATCAAAAACAATACTACAGCTACTGCTTGGTGTTGGGTATGATATTTCTTTATTCTTTTTTTCCAATCACTTGATAAGGCTTTAATGGTATTAACTTTCTGTTTGTTTGAGGTTTTTATGGGTTTTTTTAAATATCAAAATTTTCTACCCCATAGATTTATGTTTTTACTATACTTTATTGTTTTATCATAATTTTTTAAATAATGATACTGAATTAAACTTTATTCTTAAAAGTGATTTAGCCTTTGAATTACTATGTTATGTGTAGAATGGTTTATATATTTGTATATAGTAATCCTTGGTCTCTGTTTTGACAACTAGTTGCAGTTCTCAAGATGAACTGAAACTAGCTGCCACCGCAGCAAGGATTACCCTTCGGAGTATTTAAACCATTTTATCATTGAAACATTCAGTTCCCTTTTAAACAGTTGGACTTCCTGTAAATAGAGCTCTTATCAGAGGAATCAATTCCAGGAATAAATCTGGAATCAGTGTACTGTACTTACCTTTTATTACTTTAACAGTTTTCTTATTTTTTAGCCTAACTAAAACAGGTTCAACTAAGTAACGTGATGTCTAATCCAGTTTATAAAGTTTAGAGCTTTTTAATAGCACACTAAAATAACTAACCACTTTCCTAACGCTTGTGGTTTGTGTTTTTTCACTCTTGTCAGATGCTTGTTTTGTTCACCATGCTTTTTATTCAAGCTGAAGATGGCTGAGGATGAATTCTTGTTACCGCCAACTGCTACTTTGAGTTTGTTTGCATTGTTGTATCAGCTGTTATGATTGTTGTACCAGCTGTTGTCGTTGTCAGGTTTTGTGGTGTTAATTTACGACTTTCTTCTCCGCCTGGGGATGCTCGCTGCGGCCAAACGTCTACACTTGCTCATTCTGCATGCCGTCTTGTTCGCTCCTCTCACATTCACCGATACAACCCCGCTCGGCCGCATTCTGGCTCGGTTCTCCAAAGACATGGATGTGGTTGATGAGGAACTCCCGTGGGAAATCAGCGATTTGCTCTACTGTTTATTTGAAGTACGTCATTAACAGCTGTTCAGATTGTAAAGCATTATTTCTTCAAAAGTGGTGGTGGTGAGACAATTCTGGTTGCGAAGATTTTCTTTGTTTCCAACACAGATTTTGAGATATTCTGTAGTTGCGTGGTGAATTGAAAATTGGTGATGCAAACTCCTAACAGATAGAAAATAATAAAGAGCAACAGTAATTCTTGGTAACAGATTAGAAACATTCTTAACAGACTAGAAACATACCTTGAAAAAGTTGTATAAAACACAGTTTGGACGGCAGAACTCACATTATGAGAATTAATGTTTGGTATCCAGATTTTTAGAAAAAATAACTGCTTCTAATTAATTAAAAACTAATTGAAGATTAAAAGAAATCTATTAACCAAGCATTAGTGTTTTAAAGTATTTTGGTTAGATTAATTTATTGTTTTTAACAAAAAATATAATCAATTATCAAGCGCTGTAGATAATTGTAACTGCTTTAAACTACGACTTTTAGACTAAACTGGAAATCCTTGTTTAGATTAAATTGGTTTAGCTAAACAATAGCAGGGTAGCTAAACAAAGAAATTCCCAGCCTCCAGAATTGCATCACCAGTACCACTTTTCAAGAAAAGAAACCCTCTTTAAATTCTGAACGGCCTTTGTAGTTGTAGGATTTTTAGGTGCGTTGGTATCTATTTCCAAGGGGATTTATAACATTGGACGTAGACAGTAAACATGGGATTTATATTATTAAAATGCTTATCTAGTCCTCCCTAATCATTTTTCAAACTCCTCTTTTGTTAATAGTGGATAAGTTGAAAAACAATAAATATTGGCGTATTTATAATCACAAAAGAAGAAAAGATATTGTTATAAAGTATCTCCCTATAACAAATTGCATGGGAATTTTGTAATATTTTTCGATCATTTCAAAATGTTGTCTTTAAAAGTATATTTATCCTCAATAGTTTTCATGAAGAATGTTTTTATCAGTTAAAGTCACTTTCTGCCACCTAAACAGTAACGCAGAATTTTTTGTGTGATTTATTTGTATTGGTTATTATTCATTTTTGTTGTTAATTGCATGATTGCATTGTTTGTCGTAATTAACTGTAACTTGCACTTTGTATTTTGTGTTAAATTCCTTGTCAACCAAACATCTTGGCTATTACTTGTCTTTTAATAATTTTAGGATATAGAAATATACCAAAAGTATTGTTTGATTGTGTTAGTATCAGCAAGTTTAAGTAATTTAGAATATTACATTAATTATTATTATTAAAAAACTGTGTTTTGAAATGTTGTGGAGTGAGATTTCTGGTAGGTAGTTTTCTAACAAAGTTAAGTAATATTAATAAAAAATAAAAGCTTGTTCCAAGCAATATTATTATAAATTTTTAAATATATGGGTCTTTAGTTAATGTTTAAAAACAAACGTTTGATTACCTCAAGTTTTCTTACCATTGAAAAATATTATTTGCTACAAAGTAAGGCCATATATTTACTATGAACAAGCTGAATGTTTTATGGTTCTTTATCATTTATAATAATTTATTTGGTCATTCAGTTGAGAAATGTGGTATGTTTATTTATGTCAGGTTAAGTATGTTAGAGTCTTCCCCTTTTTATTGGTTATAATAAACTTTATAAATATGTGTCACATTCCCGAATAGAACTTTATATTTGAAACTTCCTCTTGTCTCTGCATTATAACTATAGAAAAAATCTCACACTCCCAATTTGCACTAAAATAAAAATAAGTGATTAAAACAAAAATATAAAATATAGTCAATGATATAACTAACTGGTTGTAAAACGCTCACATTACATTATATTTTGTCTTATACATAAATGTGATGAACCTTATAAACACATTATTATCCTTATTGGGAATTCATTGATGTAGTATACAAATTCATGTATACATTTTAAAAATTGTGAACTATTTAAAAGCAAACTGTTGATTATTATTGGATACAATATCACTGTACACCCAGACAGGCTCTTGTCCAGTTAAATGTGTTTATTTGGGGGAAGAGACTGGATTGTATTTTTGGCTTTCTTAATAATATATTTGTATAAAAGTAATTATACAGGGTGTTCATTTGAAAACTTTCCATATCTGTTGTGTGCAAAGGTAAGGCTTTTAACACTTGTTTGTTCTCATTTCCCCCTAATTTGGACATGCCAAAACCAATAAAATTATTTTCAATTTCGAAAAATGCCCCAAAAGGGCCCAATTTGGGGGGCAGGGGTGCTTTTTGAGAAATTTTCAAATGTAAACATGGGTTGTGTGATACATTAATTTAAAGGTCTAATCATCCCGACTATTTTGGTGCAATAAAAATGTAATTATCTTTAACCGTATTTACAGGGTGGGTCAAAACGTTTTAAAAAAGGACTTTGAGGTTATGTACCGTATTACCCGAACTACTGAACGTAACAGCGCCAAATTTATTTCCAAGCTTATTCTTGATCTACTCTTTAAGATAACTTGTAATAAGGGCATTTTCCATGTTATTTTCTAATTTAAAAAAAATCTAAAATTTGAAGAATTAAAGAAAGGTGAAAACTCAAAATTCTTAAATAGCAAAGGTATAACAAATTTCATACCACGTCAAAGGTCCTTTTTTAACAAACATTTTACGTATTTAAGTTTTCTTTCTATCTCTTACCGTTTAAAAATTGCAGCAGAAAAACTGAATTTTCTATGGTAAAATTATAACTTGTTTTCTAACAAAACACATTGCACTTTGCTCAACGATGTATTATGTATGTATAATTTGAGATGATTAATTACAAATTGATCAACTACTTTTACTTGTGTCAGTACATCTTGGACCCTTCATCCTGTTCTTTTCTCATTGGTAACTGAGCCAGTTTCAGAAATTTCTTAACTAAAACATTTACAGCTTTATGACTTAAGGTCTTACCTGGATATTTATTGTTAAACACTTTGCAGTGTTTAACAACTATGATTAATTACAAATTGATCAACTACTTTTACTTGAGTCAGTACATCTTGGACCCTTCATCCTGTTCTTTTCTCATTGGTAACTGAGCCAGTTTCAGAAATTTCTTAACTAAAACATTTACAGCTTTATGACTTAAGGTCTTACCTGGATATTTATTGTTAAACACTTTGCAGTTATCCTGAAACACTTTTGTTCTGCTTAATAAGTAAAAATAAAGTCTATTTTTTTAAGTGTACACCATATTCGATTAGATACTACAGAAAATAGTACTTTTTGAAATTAGTACTACCATTGACTAGTCAATGGTACTACAGAAAGCGGCCCACATGTAGGTTGTCCTCATCAGCTATAAGACTTGTTTTTCACAAATTAAAACGTAATGACTTGTTTGTCAATCAGGGTATCAATAATTATGAATTGTTTACTTCAGTTAATGCACCATTAATATGTGTCTAGAGACGAATTTTGGCTGTTTTATTAGAAAACTAGTTACAATATTACTATGGAAAATTCAGTTTTTCTACTGCAATTTTTAAACGGTAAGAGATAGAAAGAAAACTTAAATACGTAAAATGTTTGTTAAAAAAGGACCTTTCACGTGGTATGAAATTTGTTATACCTTGCTATTTAAGAATTTTGAGTTTTCAGCTTTCTTTTATTCTTAAAATTTGAGATTTTTAAAAAATTAGAAGATAACATGGAAAATGCCCTTATTACAAGTTATCTTAAAGGGTAGATCAAGAATAAGCTTGGAAAGAAATTTGGCGCTGCTCCGTTCAGTAGTTCGGGTAATACGGTACTTAACTTCAAAGTCCTTTTTTAAAACGTTTTGACCCACCCTGTAAATACGGTTAAAGATAATTACATTTTTATTGCACCAAAATAGTCGGGGTGATTAGACCTTTAAATTGATGTATCATACAACCCATGTTTACATTTGAAAATTTCTCAAAAAGCACCCCTACCCCCCGAATTGGGCCATTTTGGGGTATTTTTCGAAATTGAAAATAATTTTATTGGATTTGGCATGTCCAAATTAGGGGGAAATGAGAACAAACAAGTGTAAAAAGCCTCACCTTTGCACACAACAGATATGGAAAGTTTTCAAATGAACACCCTGTATAAGACCAAGTCCAGAGATTGTTATCAACAGGCCTGTTTGGAGCTTTTAACATTGGAGCTTAAAAACATGGTACAGCTACTTGTGCTAAATAATACACCAACATTTTGTTTTTGTAATAATTTGTATGTGGTTTATCGTTTTGTCTTTGGGATTTACTCGTATCATATTTTTAATAAACCATAAATACATATAAAGTTATTATTATTTTGTTTGTTTGAACAACATTGTTCAGTCAAGACAAAATCACTCTAAAATTTCTTTGTAGTATATAATCTTAGTGTTATTATTCTTGACTCTTTAAAAAGTAATTGACGTATAATTTTAAAGTAATAATTTTGTTTCCAAAAATGTGTACTGTTATTTTAACTTTAAAAACTGCCTTTAATTTGGTCATATAAAGAAGGTTTAAATTGTTTGTATACAATAGATTTTTTATATTTTTGTAAATTCTCTTGTAATATAGATTTCTGCACTAACAATGTTTCTGTGTTTGCACAGGTGATTGCAACTTTAGCTGTCATCAGCTACACAACACCTATTTTTGTGGTCATCATTTTGCCCATTGCCATTCTCTACTTCTTTGTTCAGGTATTTTATTTTTTAATTGGCTTTAGTATGAGTTGTTAAGTTAAAACTAAGCGATAGACAATTTGATTGTTAGTTCAGTCAAATACCTATCAAAAATTATTTAGACCAATGGATATTTTAATTTTTATTTTTATTTTGTCTATGTCTCTGTTGTCTTGTACATCCTTGGCTAAATCCTACAAAAAATGTTTTTGAATAACACATTGACTTGCTTGTGCCCACTCTCACATTCCCCATTGTAATGGGGCAATGATATTTTAGTGTATAGTTTGCTTTTAAGCTGTGTCAATGTTTTTAATTGTTTTTAAGGAAATACTATCTAAAAACAATCCATGTCCAGATTTTTTTTAATTAGCGTCTGTTTTTGTAATATAAATATATGTTTATAAGATATGCTGAAAATAGTGAAAAATTAGATTTGGTTGCTCTAAATCATGTTGAAATCTTCAACATTGCAAGTGGTAATTACTAATTACTTTTAAAAAATACTATCAAATTAACAACAAAAACTTTTTAATTTACATTGTTTATTTATTTTTTTAAAGAGGTGTCCTTTTAACCTTAAACCATCTCTCTTCCATATGAGTCTCAGACATGCAAGTAGTATGCATATAGTACAACAATTAACTGAGCAGACAATTTTTTCCTAATTGGTGGCACCATGATACGAACCTCTTAACGTCGCTGCTTTGGTCAATCATGCTACCAACTGAGCCATTATTGACCCACCAGAACTATGTTTAAGACATGACTTTTGTCCATAAAATAATTTCCTTTTTTCAGAGAATTAAAGTAAAACCCGAATAAGTAGACTAAACATTGCTTCCGTACTGATCCACTAACATATTCACTACACGTCAGTAGACCACACATATAGTGAAGTGTGGTGGCTGGTAGCACAGAGAAGTAAGATACAGATGATACATTCAATGGTACACTTAACTAGTATCTAGCTTGAGTCGCATGTGTCTAGTTCAAATTCTATTGGTTGTCCCCTCCCGCTCACCTTTCCCCCACACCATCAGGTAATACAGCTCTCTTGCTGTAGGAAGAGCCTGTGCGGTACAAGTGCTGTTGCAAACAATGGCCGTTCGGGCTCTTCCTGGTTTGGACTAGTATATTTCCGCCCCACCATTCCCATCGAAAAGCGCACGGCTGTTCCATAAGCATGATTCTCCTCTGTATCTTAATTAGCTGTGCTGGTAGTGAACCTTTTAATTTTTGCAACTAAATTTTACTTTGGGCTTTGTGTGGTTTCAGCGCTTCTATGTTGCAACATCAAGGCAACTGAAGAGGCTGGAGTCGGTGTCTCGGTCTCCTATTTACTCCCACTTTGGTGAAAGTGTCACTGGTACGTAAACAATTTAACTATAAGATTATTTAACTGTTGTGAATATTTACTATTTAAAAAAATGTTCTTCTGATTTGTTTAAATATTCAACCGTTTTCACAATCACAGGTGCCACATCAATAAGAGCGTACGGAGTACAAAAACGATTCATAACGGAGTCAGAAGAGAAAGTGGACTTCAACCAAGTCTGTCTCTACCCTAGCCTGATTTCTAATAGGTAGGCCAAATTACTTTTATAAATTTATCAGAAGATAAGTAAGATTTTGTTGTGTCTTTTAGGTTTTAAGTTACTCGAAGCTTGTGTAACAAGTTATCACACAGTAAATTTATAATTCTGTAAATAATCCTAATTGATTCTGTAATACTTTAAATATAGGTAGTTTAATAATTCAGTTGCTTTATGTGTTACGATTCGAACAGGTATATTAACTACTCTTTTGAGCCCCAAAGGTTGTTACCAGTCTAAAGTAAAATAATCAAACCTTACAACAAGACTTGCTCAATAAAGACGAACAAAAGCTGTAGCCTATTTGGAATATGCTTCTACCTGAAAGTCAATTGAAGACCTACTACCACTACCTGTGGGCTTTGTTAATTCATTATTCCTAGTGCCATAGACCAACCAAGCAGTCCAAGGTGTTTTCTCTCTACCTTAAATTAAAGTTTGAATCATGTTTTGACCAGCTCTAAAGAGTTCACCTGACTGTGGCGGAATTTGGTGGTGCTGTTCACCTATAATAAATATTAGATGGCTCATAAAATCATCTTTTTGAGTTGCTCCTTTGACTTTTTGCAGAACTATTGATGATTTCAGTATCCAAAAGTCAATTGGTGTACCTTCAGGCAGTTTGATATTTTGCAATCTTAACTTTGCACAATAAACTTGGTTTTATAAGATTTCGGACCCATGTGTTCATTAGATGAGAGAAAACATGATAAAAATAGGCATTATTGAATCAATGAATTACTGCAAAGCGTAGATTTTGTTTTATTTTCAAATCTTAATGTTCTTCACAGATGGCTTGCAGTAAGGTTGGAAACTGTTGGTAATCTCATTATCTTCTTCTCTGCTCTGTTTGCTGTTCTCGGAAGGGAAGACACAACGGCTGGTCTCGTTGGGCTCTCTGTCAGTTACGCTCTGCAGGTTAGTACTTGGACGGGTGGCGTCGTCCTGTAATCCAGCTACTAGGAGGTCACGAATTGTGGATATTTATAGGCATGCACTGTGAATGCGATACTCCCTGGTGTGGATTAACGTCTGCACGAGTGAGTACTACGACTATCCGAAGTACCATCCTGATAATTAGACCAATTCGTATATACCAAGGCAAAAATGTGGTTCGGATTCCACTATAAACTGTAGGTCCCTTAGTTGCCATTAGCTGTATGGGCTGTTAATTAACATCTGTGTCTAAGGAATATGTCGGCCTTAGCCACTAACAAGACTACAAGATCACCCTACTCATCCTACACTCATCTCCATTCATACTTGGCTTAAAATACCTACTTTGTATGGTCGCCATTTCATCGAAAAGTATTAAAGTATTAGTTAAAAAAAATCGTTGAATCTTTTTGTTTTGTTCATAAACATGCAATCATTCAGTCTATTTAAACACAAATATGTAAACATAGTAACTTGTTGTCAAGTTTGAGTAAAATGGAATCAGTTGTGAATTGACTATTTAGAAGAAGGGGAACAAATGTATAATTTTTTAACAGTGGTCTGTTGTATGTTATTGCTTTTTTTACGCGGTATTTTAGCTAACAACTTGTGAAACGATTTAATTTTGATTCAACCAAAATGACACAGGTACAGTACATAATATTCGGTAATTCCACTAAATTTTAGTCCCAAAAACCCACATTTACCGTGGTCTATTCGTTTCAAATTTTTGTTGATGAAGTAACCAGCTGAAGACTGTTATTTGAGATGAACGTTTGTTTTGCTCAGATCACTCAAACTCTGAACTGGTTAGTGAGGATGACCTCGGACGTAGAAACCAACATTGTGGCTGTGGAGAGAATCAAAGAGTACGGAGAAACACCTCAGGTAAATATTTCTCTTATGGTTTGGCTGTTCTTGGAAAATTTCCTTTGATTATGTATATTATGTATTTTGATTATGTATTCTTTTTGGAATAACTGAAGATTGCCTTTTTATTCATAAATTAATTAATTAACCTCTTTGGCTGGAGTACCGAGAGATTACTTCTATTTATAATTTGTACCAAATAAGTTGGTATTTTTGGAATGTTACATGTGGATACTAATTCTCTTGGTTTTTAGGTAAATTTGAAATTGTGCAATTTACTTTGGTTATAGTACCAGAGGACAAGCAGAAGTTTGCCACAAGATTGTTCTTTTTAGTCTGATATTTTTTAAGCAATTTAAATTATCTATGGTTAAAGAGAAGACATAGATTGTTACTGGACATAAATTTGTATTGCACAGTGTACACCTAAGATTTATATCCAGCTGATCCCCAATGATCAACCATAACGCTAGTTTCTTCTATGCTCAGCGTAAGCAGTTAACTTTATTGTTATATAGACAAAGGAGACAGAGAAGAGAAATATTATTTTCGCCTAGGTGGGATTTCAATCACACAGCACCTGTCACTCCATGTATTCTGATGTTTGATCCCACAGGAAGCAGCCTGGGAAGTGAGTCCCGGACCTCCCTCCAGCTGGCCGGACAAGGGAGAGGTAGAGTTCCAGAACTACCAGGTCCGTTACAGGGAAGGTCTGGAGTTGGTACTGAAAGGCATCTCGTTCAGGGTCAATGGTGGCGAGAAGGTAAGCTGTCTAAAGAATGGTTTGTTGTGTACAGTGTTTGTTTGTTCTAATTGCTTCAAGTTTAAAGTTAGGCCTGATAATGTTTTTGATGTGTACGTTTTTGTCACAACGTTTTACCAATTTGTCCGCTGGCTTCTCTTTTTCAATCACACAACAGTGGTTTAGCAAATTTATATGTATGGTTTTAAGGATTTTTATTAACATGTTTAAAAAATGTATCTTGTGTCATAGTGAACTCTTTCCCCATTCACGAAAGTCTGCTATCTTAATGCAAATTATTTGACTGTAAGGTGATCTGTACTCATCTTATTTCTCTGTGTATAGGTCGGCATTGTTGGTCGCACAGGAGCAGGCAAGTCTTCCCTCACTCTGTGCCTGTTCCGCATTCTAGAGGCGGCCGGAGGAAAGATCATCATAGACAATCAAGATATTTCCAAGCTGGGCCTTCACGATCTCAGATCCCGTCTTACTATCATACCCCAGGTATGCAAGCTCTGAGTTGCCTTGTTCAGTGGTAGGCGAAAGGAATACTTTGTTTATACTTTGAAACATAATTATTTAGAAACATAGTTATGTGCTCAAAGTTTTAACTACGAAGTAAACACATTACATCCTTGTTAGAAGTTTCTATGCTGGTTGGATTCTTGGTGAATTGCTTATTTGAGCTGACGTTTTGCTACTTTCTACTTTCTACTACCCACTTACTTACTGTATAAGTGTGTACCAAGAACTTGGTTTATATGAATTTGGAAATTTGTGTTCACAAGATGAGCATAATCTACATAAAATTAGCCATAATTAGGTTAATGAATTAACCCTGGAGGTTAAAGGGTTGAGCGTTTCCAAGTTATTGTTGTGGAATAAAGAACTTTGACAGTTTTATCTTTTCCCCCAGGACCCTGTGCTGTTCTCGGGAACTCTCCGGATGAACCTGGACCCCTTCAACAAGGAGAAGGATGAGGCTGTTTGGCGTGCCCTGGAGTTGGCTCATCTCAACAGTTTTGTACGAGGTCTGACATCGGGACTGCAGCACCAGGTGTCAGAGGGTGGGGATAACCTCAGGTAATCTTCAGTAGAAACTGTGTACTAAATTTCGCTCAACGATCTAGGTATCTAGGACTCGGGAAGTTTTTGGAGGGAAAAGTGTTAGTAAGGGTTAGTTAATAATTTGTTCCATTTCTCTGAGAATAATCCTAAAAACTTTCTTACTTAACAGTAAAGGAATATAGTAATACAATATGTAGGTCTCTAAAAGTGCTTGACAAACAGGTTGTTTTGGTAGGTTGTTTATATGTCTCTGGACAAAGGCGTACGAGTGTAACCAACTGTCAACCACAGGAACCATTTAATGTTCAAACCAACTGAATCCGAATGAGGGTGAGCCAACTGTATTTAAGTTTTTAACGGATTTCTGTGCCAGCAGATTATAATTAGTATACTTGAATATTGCCAGACTTTGGTATACTGAAGTAGACATCCTAATTATATTGAGCAGCTGTTGCCAATTAAAAAAAAAATCTTAAGCTGCAGCCAATTAAAAAAATTCTTAGTTGAATGACACATAGAGTGTGTACTAAATTCTATGATTCTTTTTAACCTTTAGTTTTAAAAGTGTAAATGTGTTACAAGATGCTTTTTTTATAAGATCAAGATTTCTCCTCAGTTTTGCTTAGGGTATTTGATATAAATGAGTAATTTACATCGGTTTGGTGGACCAATTCAATGAATTTCATTTTTATCCTAAAACTAACTATTATCTACAACATGGGAGTGGCATAACTGGTTCCATCCAAAATCAAAGCTGTGTGTTTGTGTCAGTGTGGGGCAACGTCAGCTGGTTTGTCTGGGGAGAGCTTTGCTGCGGAAGACTCGTGTGTTGGTGCTGGACGAAGCAACCGCAGCTGTTGACCTTGAGACGGACGACCTGATACAGCGAACTATCCGCACGCAGTTCAAAGACTGCACGGTGCTCACTATAGCTCACAGGCTCAACACCATCATGGACTACGACAGGTAACTATGTCAGCGCACTAGACCCTCTCTTAACTTACCCTGGGCCAACCGCGGCTCAGATTTACCACCAGACTGTTGTTTAGAAATCTAGTGACTTACGTTCGTTATGGTAATAAAGTATGATCATGTCTGTGCAGATTTAATTTTACTATCAACCATAAGTACATAAAAAAAAATCACTGACATCTTCAATTTTAAATTTTGACACTATGATAATTTTACAACTTGGTCTTCAGGTCATACATAAACTTTTGACATTCCTCCTGTAAGAAGCCATTGTAAAATGTTTATTTTTGTGGCTTACTCAACAGATGAAGTAAAATAAAAATAAATTAAAAGTAACTTTCCTGGTTGGAAAGTACTATATTTTTACATTTAGTATTTGTTAATTCTAATGTTATTGTTCTTTTTACAGGGTATTGGTTCTAGACAAAGGACTCATCGTTGAATATGATTCACCGTCAAACCTATTAAAGAATAAATCATCAGTGTTTTATGGAATGGCAAAAGATGCAAATCTTGTTTGATGTTTCCTTTCAGAAGTAGAAAAATTGTTACATTATGTAGTGGTATCTTTTGAACCACTAACTCTCTATTCTACTCCTATGGAGGATATACCGGCCAGATTTTTATTATTTGTAGATTATTTTATTTTAGTTCCTACATTTTCTTTGTTGAAATCCATGTCGCCCGATTTAAACATTTGTAGCTATTTTTCATGGTTAGTTAACATCACACTACACCTAAATGTGTGTTTAGGTAAACATGTTATGATTTTAATATATTTTATTTTTTAGTTATCAATTTTAAATTGATTTGTTTGTGTTTTATATACACATTAAGTAGAATTGTTGAAACTTAAAAAGTTCCATGACAGTCCAAAGTCTCCACAGTTTATAGCAGTTTTGTTGTGTAACTTTGGCAATCACTTGTTTTAGTTTTATATTGTGTGTCAAAACCATACATGGTATGAACAATTTTTATCTGTATGTATTATAAAATATTGCTATGCCACTGCCAGCCCAAGTTTACCAGTGTTATCAAGTGTCATAAAACTTGCCAAATGTTTAAAAAATCAAATTGTTTTAATTGAAATACTTATTACAAACTAGTGTATTGAAATCAAAATCAAGTCGCTCAAGTACTTACTTTTAGAGTGCATTGTACTTATTGTTTTCTGTTTTACTTTTTATCCTTGAGCATTTCTAATCGGGCAAGTATTGTTACATAAATCAAAAAAATCTAAAACTCATCTTGATTCAAGTTGTACCTAGCCAATTTCTGTTGCGACCTTATTTTCTATTTTCATTGGTGCTTATTGGTATTATTTTGGTGCTCCACTAATAGAAAGTGTAAGAGATATTGCTATAAGAGGAAAGGTAGAAGAAATAGTGTGAATCAAAGTGATTTCTTTGATGCTTTAAACTTTAATGAAAGCTTTATTTTATCTTTAAGTGTCATGTTTATTTTATTTTATGTTAAATTTCCTACAATCTTTTACCACTCTGTTACATGTTGTAACTCGATTGGTCCCATAATGCAACATTCTCTCATTGGTGATTGAAAGTGCCTCAAGATTAATTTCTGGATTTACCATTGTGTACTTATGAGGTACTTCAATAAATCATTTTCTAAATGTGTAGAGGTAGGATTTTATATAAATAAATGTTATTCAACAACTGTTACTGTGTGTTTTTAGTTTCCCCTATTAGTCTTACACGAAGAGGCCCATGTGAAAACTGTGCATTTTAACAGGATGAAAAATTGTTTCCAAGGCAAAACTAATAATGGATTACTTTTTTGGATTTCACCTTATTATGTTTGTTTAATAAAGTTATTAATTGAATAAAACTACTGATATATAATAATTTAAATATGGTAATTGTAGATCTATATCATAAGAGTCATTTTCTTACTTCGGTGCTCACCTTCAAATATGGAGGTCTCTTTCGATTCCAAGCTAGATCTTAAATATACCCAGAGGCCATTGGTCATTTGGCTATAAATTAATTATCTAACAAAAAGTTGGCATTAAACAGTAACAACACCATATTTGGGCTGTTCCCTTTACAAATAAAATTTAAAAATGGTACTGGTGTAGATACTGTCAATTAGAATGGAGGAATGGTTCCTAACTAGGTAGAGAGTCACACCACTACTAATGGTATAAAAGTAATCTAATGACCATAAATTGTTGATTTACTGTACAAAATCACACAAGTGATGATGGTCAGGGCAGGGTTCCTGTCAAATTTGTATCCTGCTCACTACTCTAATCAAAATGATTTTTAACAATGTGTATAGTAGTTTATTGTTGAACAACAAAGCTGGATGTTCAGAATGTGGAGCATATGTCAACAACATTTTAGTTATAACTAGCAGTAGATTCTAATAGCTTATGCTATTTAATTTAGCACTCTATAAAAAAAATTTCAAATCTTGTTGGACATCATTACTAAAATAAACTCTTTACTCTAGCTCTCTCATTACCTGTGTATCGGGCCAGCATTCATGAAAATTAACCAGTTCACCGGTGAGAAACTTCTGTTAAGACATATTAATATTGTTGCAGCTTGTTTTAAAATTGCGTAAAAAATATGCCTATTTGCCCTAATAAATATTAAAATTCTATGTTTGAAGGGCTCAGCTTGGTGATTACCAACTTAAAAACTAATTTTGTGGCCCTTAAAGATAAACACACCACATCAGTGTCAGTTTGTATCTATATGTTTATTAAGTAATCCGTGGTATTAAAAATACTCTCCATTGTTTTGCATATTAATGAACCAAACTACCAAACCAACATGTACACATGTATAGTAGGAGTAAGTTTGAGGAATGGCGAGCCTCCTCATATTCATTCTTCGACAGGAAGCGACAATGCTCCCAATCACTATATCCGCTAGATGTCCTCCCTTAAGTCTAATTATACCAACTCAGCATAAACATTTTTACAGCTGCATCTAATCTAAAATATGTGTACTAGATTTATAGTTTGTAGGGTTGACATGCCCTATTTTCTCATGTCCTATCTTCACATTCTAGAAAGCCCAAATCAGTTTTAATCATAATTTCAGGCTGCCTAAAAGTTTGTGGCATTATCTTGTGGCTAAAACCTATTGGTGATTGGCAAGAGTTGAAACAGGAACCAAAGCCACATGCATACAATATTGAGAAAAAAATCTAGGTACAAAATATACGTTCAAGAAAAAAATCCTGGACTAGCCATTTTACTACTTTTCTTGTGTATTCAATGGTATTTTAACACTTTCAATGGGTTTCTACTCTTGCTACTTTATTGCCTATGTTATTATTTTTGTTGTATTCCAGAAAATTCGCTTTTGTCCCACAATTAAATCTTGCACTGGGCTTAACTCCTATCTTTTCATCAGTTAATTTAAACAAATAAACAATTTGATTTCAAACCTACTACTACAGTATTTATAGGACTATTAAACAAAATTAAGTAAGCTGCATTATATAAATCAGCGTCAATATTACTAGATGTTACTTATGTTGTTTACCATGACTATGAAAAGCAAGGGGCCTGTAACAAACCCCTGTGGCGCACCCCAACTTAACCTGGGCACAATCTGAATTCTGAGTCATCACCAATGTAGGACCTGGTTACCTATGGATGATATTGGATTTGCATCCAACACCAAAGTCTCCAAAATTAAGGCGGAAAATAAAAACATTTGAAAAATAAATAATCAAATAAGGTTTATTGGCGGAGAAAATGACAATGGCTAAAAACTTACTACTTACTACTGTTGTTACAAGTACTAATAGGATAAACTAATTAAAAAACCAAATCTGATGAAATTTCTAATAACACAAAGTAATCAGTACAAAATTTACAGTTGAATTTTAAATACTGTAATTAAACCTAAAATACAGAAAACATTTTTAGTATAACAATTGACCAAAATTTTAACTGGAAAGCATATGTAAAAATACTTGGCCTTGGCAATAAACTGAACTCAGCATATTTCCAAATGCTTCAGTTGAGAGATAGAACAGATTTGAAAACTAGATTAATGGTCTTGCCTATTTTATTCCATATGTAATGAAATGTGAAAACTGAGCTATGGTGTTTGTTCATTGGCTGATAGTAGGGGTCTCAATCCCGGGATCCCGAATCCCGGACGAATTTTTGATACATAGAAAACCCGGGATTGGTGACTTTTATTCCCGGGATTAACGGGATTGCAAAACCTATGTTTATACTTATTTTTTGTGAATTTGAGGACTTTTACTTACGGGAAATAAATACAAATATGTCCAATAACACATGAAACACGTATACTCTTTATTTTTAGGACGATAAATATATATATATGAAATGGTATAAGTAATGATCTATTTTGATTGGAAAATTTAATTATCATTAAACTCAATAGGCGAACGAATGTAAATAATATGTTTCAGTATTTAGAGGATTTGGATTTACTTTCTGTAAATGAGTTATTACAATAGTTATAACTTAATAACAGTAGGCCTATTAGTTATTTAGAATTTAACTTTTGACATTAAACGTAAACAAAAACGCCATTCGTGTAGCAAACATAACATTGCAATTGGAAATTAAAGTATTATTTTCATTGAAGCCATAAAATATAACTATAAACACACCATTATAATATCATTATTAAGATTGCTTATTTTTGCGTCCATAACTTTATTTTCGTATTTGGTTATTATTTTGGTGATTTAATTTCTTACAATCCTAAATTACGTTTTTCATACCCACGCTACAACATAAGCAGATGGTTTATTGTTTTACTGTATCTTATATTGTTTTATTGCTGTCAGTCAAAATAACATTTTTACGCTGCTACTCGTGATTCTTCCCATTTTAGCGAATTTCCCATATAGGGAATATTAGCGAATTTCTCATATAGGGAATATTAGCGAATTTCCCATATAGGGAATAATATAAGCTATTAAAGTAGTACTCATGGTTAAGACCTGGACCCGGGACCGATTTACTTTTTCGTTCTGAGGTCCCTAGAGACCAAAAACACCATCCATTCAAATTCATATATATATATATTTATATATGTGTCCGTTAGCGCGATAATTAGAGCGAAAATCATCTGATTTTGATGAAATTTGGTAAAAACGTGTAAACCTATGTTTATTTGAACGAGTTCGCGAACCAGCATGATCGGACTATGGGAACAGGGGTCTATGGGGGGTTTTATGGGGTAAAAATTGATTTTTCCCAATTTTGACCCTAAAAACTTAAAATTTAGCAATTTCTTTCCAAACCATTTTGTAGAGCTTAAAAAAACAAATAGGCCTAATTTAATATTTTGAAGCGTTATTATGCGCCTAATGCTTACAGAAAAAATTCAAAAAAACTGTTAAATTTAAAATTCTTATGGAGAATAAATAAACTGTTGTAGTTTGCTTGTTTGTGAACATATTTTGATCAAATTTGGAAAATGCATTCATTTCATTTTACAAAAAAACACCTTTTTACCCTTCCTGTTACAGCAAACCTAAGTACTCGCTAAATTAAATGCTAATTAAATAGGGAATAAATGTGATATTTTTAAGGGACATTTTAGTGTAAATCCAATCAGGCAAATGGAAATTCGCTTAGTCTGCAGGTTTGCTGCGGCGGGGGTATTATCATGGCTATCTTTAATCTATCTATTAGCGTGACGTATAGGCTATGTGCGAGTCCGGTTGCAAGTGATTTTTTAAAATGCATTTATTATATTCTAGAGTGACATACAAACATTTAAACACTGTAAATAAGAAATACGGGCGATGAAAGTTCCATATGTGGTAATATTTATTTACTTAGAAAACGGAATTATTACACAGTGTAACACTGGTAAGGCCAGTTTAAAACATTAAAGTACTCAACTAGGGGACTTCTCGCTCATTTAAAATGGCTAAAAGTTAAAAATCATAATATTATATGATCCCGGGATTGGCTGAGAAAAATCCCGAAATCCGGGATTGGATTGAAGGCCCAGGATTGTGACCCCTACTGATAAGAGAAAAATATTCAAGTAAAAAATTGTTCACATTATGACACTTTTGCGAGTACTATAATCTCATGTAAGACAATCAACAGTTAGGATTATTAACCCTTCCCTCTCTCTATATAATATTCATGCTTGCTGTTGATTCAGAACAATTTTGATCTTCTTTGTGGGCAGCAGGGGCGGCTCAAGGAATTATTTTTTGGGTAGGCCTGACAAGGATCAAGATTCAAGAGTTTGATCAGGGAACGAGAGGTTTGAAGGGCTTTTCCCACAAAAAGGGGGGAATTTTAACACCTAAATTGCAAGATAATCAGACTGAATGCTTTCCCTTTATTTAAATAGAATTAAATGTCTTTATTAATTTATAATTTTGAAATATCCCCCAAACTTTTGGGTAGGCCTGGGCCTACCTGGCCTGCCCCCTGGAGCCGCCCCTGGGGAAGATTTGCGTACAACACAAGGAACAAAGAACAATTTCAATACCGAATCCATCTAAACAATCTATAAAAAATGTCCCAGTTACATACGGGAAGTATGAAGTTTTTTCATAATAAACCTTTTAACAGAAGCCACATTCGTTAAAAAAGTTTTAAGAATAAGCCAAAAATGAATCTTGTAAACCAAGTATTTTACTCTGTGACTGTTAACAAATTAGCCTAAGTAGTAAATCTTTTACAGTA